GCATAAGCTTTACGAGGCACTGGTACAGCAACACCAGCCTGATCCACCTCTTGAAGCTCGACAAGGATGGCCTCGTGGAGCCAGTTGTTGGTGTACTTTATATGTTCCAACCGAATGACATTGACCCTGTCTGTTTCACCCGCCGCCATCAACGCGGAGATACAGGCAGATAAGGTCATTGAGTGTATTTCGCCTTTAGGTTCACCTTCGAAGAACACGACGCTGGGGGTATCGACGTTGGTCATAGTCATCGTGGAGGGGACGGGAAGAGAGGTACAGAACCAGACCTGGGGAGAAGGCGGTTATAAGTGAGGACATGCACGAGGAGCTTGAGGCATCTATTTGGTCCGGCATGATGGTTGATCTCCAATAGAATGCTGGACTCTGTCGTTCACTCGAGATTTGCGCCTGGTGAACTACAGTAGAAACACTCAATGCGTGACCAAACATGGAGTGGACTCGTAGACACACCTTGTATGAATCGAACTCAAGCGTTCCCCCAAAATGCAGAACCTCCTCAAACATGCAAACACCTCACCGCCGGAACGTTAAGCCAGACCTAACCGAGTTAGGCTCCTTGTAGCAGTTACGTGCCGCATTCTTATAAGCGCTGAGAACATTGATCCTGTAGAGCATGTGCGCGGATTGTATTGACGGTATTATTGAACCCTCGATTTCGATTATCAATCAATAAGCGCCCTCACCCCTAGCCGGCACCCAATCATATTATCATGTTAAGCAGGATTTTGGAGAAGCAAGGACTGACTGACTTATCGAAAGCCACTAAATCGCCCGTGGTCATCTCTTCCGATGAAAACTGATCGCTAGAAGTATCAGGTCGTGTTGGGATTCGTCAAGACAGTTCCTTGGGAAAAATTTGAGACTTTCTTGAAAGCAACTAGTGGTCATCAAAGGTATCCGCTGACAAGCGTTTTCACACTGCAGTTGAAGGCTGGCCACGGGTCAAAAAGTTCAAGTCAAGTCGGATACAGGGAGTCTTTATGTGCGAAGAAACCAAGCTGTACCTTACCTTCTACAAGCCAGCAAATTCAACTTGTATGTATCACCAGCGTGGCGCATACTGTCACCCGTGTAAAGCAACAAGTCAAGTTCTACGTTGAGAAGTTCTCATTCCCATCGATTACGCATCACGTATTCTGCGACGGCTGAGGAGACACTGGGTCTCGAGAGTTAGCAGTGCTGTACGCAAGGCAAATTGAAATCAGTATATATGGAGAATTGGAGATACATGCAGCCCAAACCATAGACGTTGCGGTCCCAGTACTACCAAGAAGATCGTCACAGTAACAGAGAGTAACGGAAAGAGGAACGAAGATTGGAATTTTCACGCAGAACGCATGCGTCAGGGAAAGAACCCCGTTCTGATCAGTAAATTCTTCCCAGTCTGCAGCCAACTATTATCCTTGCCGAGCTTCCAACAGCCTCAGCCGAGCTTCGAGGGCGGCATTTTGGCGCTTTAGATCCTCTTTCTCTTGTGCACCCACTTTGCTCCCTGCTAAAACACCGTCCCTAAAAGCAACTCTGCTGTCTTTCTCTCTCTTATCCTAATACGAGCGCACAGTAAGATAGTGAAGAAACTTCAAAGTTGACGAGTGAGCTGACCTGCCGCCATTTCTTAATATCTGTCTCCAATTCCATCCATGCTCCTTCAAATTTCGCAAATGCTTCCCGAGCGAAACCTCGTGCTGGCACTGCCCGGCTCCCATGTACGGCCATTTCCCATCCATTAGACCAAACCTTTTGAAGATGCAATACGGCAACATCCCAGATGGACCCTGCGTACCAATAACAGTGTGCCGTGAATGGATTGTATCTGGGCTTGGCTTTGGCCACAACGGAGGCTGCAACGAGGAGCTGTATAAAAGGCCAGGAATATGTGATAGAATCGATATGTCGTTGAACTTCATATCGATCGGAGCTAGTGGTGAATGCATCTTTGTCCCGGGACAGTCTCACGTCATGGCGAGCCTGACTGGAGAGGGACGGCGATGAAGAGAAGTATGTTTTCTTGGCGGTAGGACAGTCAGCATCGCGATCGATGAGGGCATAAGCTTTGCGAGGCGTGGCAGCGTCAGCATCCACTTCTTGGAGTTCAACAAGGATGGCCTCGTGGTGCCAGCCTTTGGTGTACTTTATATACTCCAACTGAATGATATTGACTCTGTCGGTCTCACATGCCGCTACCAGCGCGGAGATACAGGCAGATAAGGTCATTGAGTGTATTTCGCCTTTAGGTTCGCCTTCGAAGAACACAACGCTGGGGTTGTCGGCGTTCGACATAATGATTGTGAGGGGGACGGGAAGAGAGGTACAGAACCAGGCATTGGGAGAAGGCAGTTATAAGTAAGGACATGCACGAGGAGCTTGAGGCATCTGTTTGGTCCGGCATGATGGTTTATCGCTGATAGCACTGTGTTTGTGACTTTGATAGACCGCCGCTCATTCGAGGTTTGTACCTCGTGAACTACTGCATGAAACATTCAATACACGATCGTGAGGTATACTCGTGCACCGTGACACACCTTGCATGAATTCAAATCAGGTGCTCCCCCGAATTGCAGAATCTCTCCAACCATGTAGAGACTTCGTCCCCGAAATGTTGAGCCGAGTTAGGTCTCTTTCGTGGCATTTACATACTGCCTTCTGATAAGCGCTGAGAACGATGGTCCTGTACAGCATGTGTGATGCCTATATTGACCATAAGATGGAGAACTTGATAACTGAACAAAGCTTTAGACCCTACTGAAAAGGAATTTTGAAAGGTATGTTGACGGCGATTCAGGTGTATTTCAGTTGAACCTTCGATGCCGTACACTATAATTGATAGGCGCCTCCGACCTTCTGTGAATAACAGGCTTGTACTTGATCACATTCTCATGTGAAGAAGAGTTCTGAGATGCGAGGACTGGCTGACTTATCGAAAGCAACCAAGCCACCCCTGTTCACCACTTCTGATGAAGACCGATCGCTAGGTGTATTATCATGTCGCATTAGGTTCGTCAAAACAATTGCCCACGGAAAATGCAAAAGTAAATAGTGGAAGTGTATCACTTGACTATAACCCTAGAAAGGATTTCGGGGACAGGCTGGCATCAATGCATTTGAACAACATATTCACAACATGAAAATGAGCCAACATACCTTCAGGGTGCAGGGCATGCCTGTAGCCAATGCTACGCAACAAGATATCGTACTAAATATTCTCGACCATTTCATCCTTCGAACTTCAGCGCAGTTTGGAGCCCAATTTATACCGGGGTTCTTCAAAGTCGCTACTCAGGGACAGTGCTTCAAGTTATGAGCCAGGATGTCCTCGGAAGCCTCCCGTTGCGTAATGAGCGCTGAATGTTAGTTGGAGTATATTGGAGAGTCCTAATGGAGACATCTTATAGGTGGTCTTCAAATCCGGGTTGGTAACGGACCCATCACTGCCCTTGACTTTATTTCTGTATCACCCTACTGCCGGTCAAAAATAAATTTCCACTAATCACAAAACAAACTCACTAGGCTGCAGACCGCCAAACATGCACGCTCCAAAGGATCCGTTTGGTGATCGCCAATTAGGGTATCCAGTACGTCGAGGTTATGTCTTCATAGATGTGACACACGGGGACGTATGAGAACTTTTTGAGGAAGATCAATGAGTTGAGACGATGATGTTCCGTTTGTGCTCGTGATGGATTTACGAATCAGTGGTTCATCTTCGATTTACAAATTCAAATTGGACTTGTCCAATTTCAGTTGCGTTGAAGGCCGAAAATCGATATGTATCCTCCAGAATAAGCTAAGTATCACGTGAGGGAAGGTGGAGGAATGTATACTTTGATAGTCTAGCAATTGTGTCAGAATGAGTGAATGGAATGCACACCGGATACGTGGTGGATGCCTGCGTATATGGTGGGTTGTCAGAGACTTGGGCTTTGCAGATGATGAATCAAATGGCCAAAGGGGAAGTGGCGTGAGAATTGGGCCGAGTCGTATAGGTCCCAGAGTCGGGATGGCGCTGCGAAGCCTCAAGTCTGGAGCGCTTGGTGAACCAGAGAGTGGAAGTACCGAATCCGGCAACACCAAACACTGAAGGGAGTAGGTAGGTGGGTCAAAGAAATTGATGAAACAAGACTGAAAGCTTGAGTGCAAAGAGCGAGGAGGCAGAGTTTGGGGGCGTCGGAAGGTTGGGACGACGCGGTCAATAGTTCGGGACATTGGACGTGATATTTGCGTGTGTATAGAAATGAAGCCTAAGGCCTCATACATTATCTTGGAGTAATGTGCCTGACCGGCAACTCGGCCAATCTTGCATCTGTTCGCAATATCTCTGGCTTCGCTGGTCCGTTTTGTTTGATTTCAAGCTCAAGAGGAGCACGATCTAGATAATAACTGAGGAATGCATGTAGATGTTGAATAGAATGCATGGTGTAAAGGTATTCCAAAGTGTGAAGTAATTGTCCTAAGACTAGAAAGTCGGTCACTCAGGCCCTATTACATTGGGATAACCATGTCAGCCAAAAATTGATTGGCATTAATAATGTTGTACTCCAGACTAAAACCATCAATTACTACAGGATCCCGATATAAATTTGTACCTTGGTAATGAGAAAATGATACAAAACCATGCAAGGATCATTTATTTATAGTTTGCCGAGCAATCCTGTGCACAGTTGAGGGATAAGAGGCATTGAGAGCAGGAACAGCCTACGAAATTGCTCATGAAATCAGCAAGATATCACAAACATTTGTATGTATCTCATGACTAGCTAAACAGGTGTCTGAATGGAATCTCAAGTAGCGGCCTCATCCTGCCGTCTAGGACAGCAAATCTTTTGAAGATCGGAGAAGTATGTTTCGTGAAAACAGCTGCGATCAAGTGCCATTTGTGGCCGAGTACCCTACTCTGCAAGATATTAGAACATCAACGCAAAAAGGCGTGATTACACAGTCCAGCAGCATACTCTGCAATTCGACCCAAAAATTTGAGGCTATAGCACCAACTTGTTTCGATCCAGTGAGCCCGCGATCAGAAATCGCACGCGGTACCACTGGGCCATACCATCCTACATGAGGTTGGCACCTTGCAGAGTATTGCTTACAGCTCGCCGGAAACGGAAAATAAATCAGTCTTTGTTTGCTCCTATTGAAGTCAAGCGCCGAAGCCAATGATGAAGAGAGGCTTTTCCCAACGTTGAACACGACGACAACGACAATCCTTACGGCCAGCGAGACCGACGCGTTGTAGTTCACGTACTGCGTCGCTCGTTGTGGTCTTCAATCATTCACGACGAGGACGGCTTCTCAAAATGTCTGGCAAAGCGCCACCGAAAGGCCCAAGAGCGCTGCGAGGAGGTCCGCCCCCGCCGCCTTCCAGCATCGCGGGACCGAGCTCCACAGCTTCGGGACCTTCTCTGGCGGCCTCCGCAACGAAGAAGATACCTACAGGACCTCGGAGTCTTTCAAATCCAAATGCACCTTACGCGGGTCGCACATCGAAGGCTACCTACAGGAATGGGACGCCAGAAGGCAGAGGGACGGGCATTAATGGTGGAATAAATGGAGTGGGAACGAAGAGCGTGCATTCTTCAACATCATCTACGAATGCTGATACATGGATCCCCAATGGCGCCGTGAATGGTGTAAAGACTGTGAATAGTCCGCCGGTACCAGGTATTTTGGGTTCTAATCGGGCTGCAATCTCTTTCTCAATGCCGCGGAGGCCATCTGGTAGCGGTCCCCCACCGCCCACCCATCCGCCACCGCCGCCGCCCCAGCCGACGAAATCACCACCCCCGCCGCCTCCACCCAGCTCAACTCCGCCTCCTCCGCCTCCCCCGGCAACTCCCCCGCCGCCCCCGCCGAGTATAGATCCACCTCCGCCACCACCGCCGACCGAGTCGGTACCTCCGCCTCCGCCTCCCGAAGTTCCCCCGCCGCCTTCGGCAGTGTCACTACCTCCATCAACTCCTCCTCAAACCATCTCACCCTCAGAAAACACTGCGTCGTCATCCTCACATGTACCTCCGCCTTCCTCTTCACCACCTAGACGGCCTCCTTCGCCCCCAAGGACGTCCCGGCCCGTCTCACCGGTTCCACCATCTCCATCGCCGCCGCCCGTCCCTCACTTTACTCCAATAACACTTCCTCAACGCGTAGCAAGTCCATCACCCCAACCTCCTTCCGATATCCTGTCTCCGTCTTCTCCACGTGAACTAACCCCGCCTCCACCTCCGCCTTCACCTCCCCAGCGACGACGTACCGTTCCTACGTACGACTTGCCTCCCTTACCTGACTGGCCACCTCCCAAGTCAGATTATCCACCAATCCGCCCATACAAGGTCCTACACGATCCATCTATACACAAGCTGCCATTTCCCTCCAATGTAAATGACTTAGTAGGGTATTCAAGCGATGGCCCTCCAGCCGCACCGGGAACCAGTTCAAGCACTGCGCTGACACCGCCATATTTTCAGCACCTCATCTCGTGTATGCCGGAGTATGTGTCGGCCTCTGTGTTTCAAGACCGCGTCAAAGGGAAAGGAAAGGGCAAGGAGATTGTGTATCGGTACGAGGGAGAGGTATTGAACCGTGGAGAGTGGATACCTGTTCCCGGACATGGAGATCTATGGATACGAGAGCCTGAAATTCCTGAAAAGCCTCCAGATCCTCGTCTGAACTCTAATGTTAAGCGACGGCCGCCGCGTGAAGAGTTAGGATATGTGACGTATGAGGTACGAGTTTCCAGTTATCGAAATAGCTGCCACTAACTATTCCATAGTACGAACACGGCATATCAACGACTCCTCCACCTCCCACTGCTCTACTATTAACGAACTTATCACCTCTAACCCCAAATACTCAGCTACGGACACATCTTGGCGGGTATGGGCCCATCAAGGTTTTTGAACCCAAGATCGATAAGGAGAATGGGATGGCATTAGGTGTGGTTTGGGTTGACTTTCGTACGCACGAGGACGCCAAACGATGTTTTGATGGTATTTGTGGGCCGGGCTTAGACATTCGAGGCATTGCAGGCAGCTTGAAGACACTTCTTGGAGCCAGTGCTGAAGATGTCAAAGTCATATTCGATGGGCAAGGTAAGAGAGTTGCGGCAGTCATCAAAGAATTGGAAGACAGGAAGCGAAAGCGGAAAGAAGCGACTAGGAAGAACGCAACGACCAAAGACTCGCCTCCTTTACCGACAGTCCCCACGCCGAAGCAGAATGGAACGCCTCGACCAAATGCGTCAACGCCTTCCAATAGCAGCAAACCTGTTTACCATCCCCTACCATCTAACCCACGACTTCCGCATGCTCTCCCTCCGAATCCTACCAAGCAGCTTGGACCAGCAGCGGGCTCGAGCTCCCTCGCGCTACATAATCCGCTTAAAGCATCTCCCATGAGGCCGGCCTTGGCAAACGGAACCTCCCTACCAGCAATTCCTCGGCTTCAGAAGGCCAGAGAGGAGGTAGCGGCAGAGATGAAGCACGAGAAAGAGAAGACCACAGAAAAACAAGCAGGCATAGACAAGAGACGGATGATGGACTCGTTCAAAGTAAAGCCGCGAGAGCGATTGAGAGAGTGGGAGGGACGGCCCTCAGATGGCCGTCGCGGACGGGATAAATACGATCCTCGATACCCTGAACGTCGAGCGCGCTCTCCCTCGCCTAATCCGCTACAGTACCTGCACAAGGGGTACACGGAGGATGAAGTAGAGAAAGCGCTGCTGACAAACGGGATGGAGTACATCATTGTCGAGTTTGAAGACGGCAAACGCAGTGGTGGTGGTGTCTCGGAGGGAGAGGTGCGGGACTTCTTCGAAATTTTTACACCCGAGAAGGTCATGTCCGCGCCCAAGTATGGGCTGGTGTTCGTGACGTTCACGGATCATGAATCGGCACGACAGGCTATAGTCCATTTCGCCGGATCTCGTAGGCGGTTAGCGTATAGGGATGTAAAGCTTCGTCCTGGTGAGAAGGGAGTATTTCATGGTGTGTTACTTGATTCTCTCATTAAATTTCTGTCTTGACGTTTCTTAGGCTTTGATGGGCGACGTCGAACGGTGTGGGAGGATGCGGAGATGGTGGACGAGGCCGCGCGCCTGATCGTTGCAGAGCTCAAACAGATACTGACGAAGGACGTCAAGGATCGGGTGGTTGGCAATGAAGTCAAACGGTTGATGCGTGCGGGGGTTAGAGAGAAAGAAGACGAAAAGGAGGGAGAGAAAGGAGCGAAGACTCTTGATTTGAAGGGGTTGAGTTTTCGGAAGCGGCGGCGGGAAGGCGAGGATGGAGGGAGGGAGAACAAACGTGCTAAGCTCGCTGACGAGAATATGGATATCCATATCCATGACGATACGGTGAAGGTCAAGCGAGTAAGAGAAGATGTGGTGGAAGAGGAGGAAGAGGAGCGCCCGAGGAAGAAGGGCAAAATCCAGAAGAATGTGCAGAAGAAAGTCAAAGGCAAGAAGGACAGAATTGTCGTCGAGGACGAGGAAGAAGACATTGTCTTTGTCGTCAACGGCCGCAAGATGACGAATATTCGGTTGGAATCGACACTCTCGCCCTCAACATCAAGGTCGTCTTCACCATGCTCTGTACCGCCAACGCCAGCGCTTGTGGTAGAGTCCGAATCTGAATCTGAGGAAGAAGAAGAGGTGGCGGAAGAAGAGGACCTGGGCGTCTTTCAGGACGACGAAGACCGTTTCTTTGCCAAGATCGCGCTATCCCATCCTGAGAAAGACTTTGAGAGTCTGGACGACAATCTTAAAGCGGAGTTGGCTATTCCACCGCCGCCTGTCATAACACCTCGGCTACGGATACATGCCACGGGGTCCGCACGGACGGAAGGATTCTACGAAATCAGTCACGCGCAGAAGGCTGAATATGTGTCGCAGTATCAAGCTCGCTCATCTGCTGCATCGTCCAAGGTCGTCGTTGATCCGGCACCAAACGACAGTCCTTCAAAAGCTGGTGTCACGTCCTCGCGGGAGAATCGAGCAAATGCCCGTCGACGTGCTCAAGGTCTCGAGGAGATGAACCAGCTCAACCGTGCTGTAGCGCTGTCCAAATCTACTGCACATATGAATTCGAAAGATAACCCTGCTCAAGAGATGCTGCTCAAGTTCAACCAGCTGCAGTCGAGGAAGAAGCACCTGCGGTTCGCGCGGAGTCCGATCCATGACTGGGGCTTGTATGCGATGGAAAGGATCAGCCGTGGAGAGATGGTTATTGAGTATGTGGGCGAGATCGTCCGAGCGCAGGTGGCAGAGAAGCGGGAGAAGGCGTATGAGCGGCAGGGTATTGGAAGCAGCTATTTATTTAGGATCGATGAGGACCTGGTGGTGGATGCCACGAAGAAGGGGAATCTAGGGTGAGTGTGACCACTTTTATTGTCTGGATTACGGACTGATTGACGTGCGCTCCGTAGTCGGCTGATAAACCATTCTTGTGATCCCAACTGCACCGCCAAGATCATTACTATCAGTGGGGAGAAGAAGATTGTGATTTATGCTAAGCAGGATATCGAACTTGGGGATGAGATAACATACGGTGAGCGGCTTTGCTTATTAATCATTTCATGGTAGGCTCATGTACTATTTTTAACAGATTATCACTTCCCCTTCGAACAAGACAAGATTCCCTGTCTTTGCGGGTCCGCAAAGTGTCGTGGTTTTCTCAACTGATCCGTCATCCGGGGTTCTTTGTACGGAACCCCTTGCTTTGTCGTCAAATGTTGTCGTATTTTACCGTTTGCTTTTATTGGTTTTTTTATATCATTCATCTGTGTGTCTTTGTTCGCCTGCATATGTATATAATTATACCTCACATCATTGTCATTTATACTGCAATGCAATTGGCTCGCTGGTTCACTGGACTAATCAGGGAGTCAATACTGGTGAACGCAGAATTACCAATTAGTTTCAGATTTTCAACGATGGGTGAGGATATATATCAGGGAAAAGGCTCTGAATAGCAAACAAAAGTAGCCAGTTTTACATACCATTTTTTAAGAATTTAATTCGAATATGAGGGAGGAGATGAATATGACAATTCTCGCTACC